AAATTTTTCAACCCCCCCCCCCCCCCCCCCCGCCCTCTTTTGGCTCAAGATTGAAGTTCAGGCTGAAAAAAAGATGACTTCCACTTGGGAAATTTTAAAATTATTCTAACAAACTGGTGTTAAGAAACTAACAAATTGATGTTAATTGATGCTAAGAATGTCACAAAATAAAAATATATTTCCAAATTAATTATTCATGTTTAGTAAAGCAAATCGTCTCAGTTTTATAAATGGGTCCTATTAAGAACTAGTACATATGCCTATTAAAAGTTATTTTTATTATGTAAGCATCTTATGTAAAGCTATTTTTATTAGGTAATTATTTGATATATTACAGACTCTCACATTGCCTTGTCATACTTTGTACAATCATGGGTCCCTGAGTGCTAGTTAATACCTCTACCAATGTATGTACCTTTATTAACAGCATGCTAGGCAACTAATCATTTCTACCTAGACACGAAATCCAAATAACCTTCAGAAGCCATAAGCCCAAGTGTGCCGAACCTTCAAGTCCATCAGCACTCAACAAACTCACTCTGGGAGGCAGGAAAACAAATGCTGTAACTCGGTAAAGCCTAAACTTCATATGAAGTTATATGCTTATGAAGTAACAGTTTGTAGAAGTTACATGACTTAAGCAAACTAACCTCAACCGAACAGCTTTCGTAAAGCCTGACAGGCAGAGGAGCGTCTCTTCGCAGAGGGCTGGTAGCTCTTTTTGCGGTACTGGGCAGTGCACCAGCAGAGCGCACAAAACCACTGCCGGGGAGCTTACTGTGGGACTGGCAAAAGCTTCAGCTAAATCAGAGAAGTTTGGCCACTTTGGGGCTGAGCTAGACAAGCTGTTTTCGTCAGAAATAGGTTTCCCTTCTCGCATCACTATTCATCCATCCTCCAACTGAGAATAGAGAGACTAGCTGCTTGCCCTGAAACAACATTCTCCAAAGGCTTGCTAACAAATTTGCCGTATGAAAGTTGCATGAAGTTTGGAATATTCCAGCATGGCATCGAAGTGTGAGATTATAATGAATTTTTTAGGCGTGTTCCAGTTGTTTCAGGAACACAACATAAAAAAAAGTTATTATAAAAACCCAGCATATTTTCAAAAACCTCAAAAATGTAAATGCTTTTCATCTTAAAAAAAAGTATGACTTGCATGAGTAGAACATACAAAAGAAACTCCCCGACATTAACTATCGATGAATGTATTCATTGAAATTTTGAACTCCTGTATCGATAACAGTATTTGCAGCATTAAGACATGGTAAAACTTTCGTTTTCCCACAAGTCCAATGTAACGATAGTTTAATTTCAGAATTTACTTCCAAATGTTGTTAAAGCACTAATTCTGCAATGTATGTTTGTATAATGCACTTATATAATGCCTTAGTATAATAAAATATTTTCAAAGTAAACAATAAACAAAAATCAGTACTCTTTCAATTATCAATTCTGAATCTATACCCAAACTGCCAAAGTGCCACCTATCATCCATCTATTGGAAATTCACAAAACTGCCATTCACATTTTTAATAATGTGGTTATAATATGATGGTACATACTTCAGCGAGCAGCATATCAAAATATTTTTCAGCGATTTTCACAAAGACTGTAAGCACCATCAGGCTAGACTGAACTTTCTGAAAGAGATTCATTTTTTAAAATAAGCTTGAGGTCCAGAGCAGGACTAAATTGCTAGCTGGGATACACGCGCTATTGTTTAAAGTATAAAAAAAAACTTGAATGCAACGTTGAGAAAGTACTAGGATGAGGAAGCAAAACTATCAGTTTAAATGAAGATATAATAAGGCTCTCCAAACTTGAGCAGTAGGATGGAAATTCGTCAGGGTTACAATCCCACAGGGAAATGCTACTTGCCATCTGCAGTGCTGTGGGCACGGTTCTGGCAGGGAAATCAAGTTACTAAACCAAGTTGTTATAAAAGGAGAATAAGTAGTATGGTGGCAAAGATCCACCCAAGTGAAAAGCTCTGTTTGGTAGAATTAATTCTGAATTTCATACTTAGAATCAATTTACTTTTATTTTGATATAATTATCTACACACTTAAAAACGGGACATGTTTATTTGAATTGCAACTCTATTACAGCTTGGTCCCCACCTACGAATAATTCCTTCCTGCACTGCTTGCAGATCAGGTGGTGTCATATTTATTGCTTAAAGATTATTATTTCATTTTACTGTAATGAATATTCTCAATATAAGCCAATAAACAGTATCTGCAAATAATAAAAAAAACCCTAGAAGAACATGGTCTTTGATTAGCTGAAAATACATTATTGATGGATAATTGTTTGGAGCTGGTACAGTTTTTAAGTAAATAGAAAATTAATTTTACTGTTTTCCAGAATGTATTCCTGCAATTCAAAGAGTAATTTCTTTCTTTCCATCAAGGTAAAGCAGAGACACTGTGCAACATAAAAGGTTACAGTGAAGAAGTGGCTGCAAATGTATGTTCCCAAAGGGAGCAATAGCAGATGCTACCTGGGAGTGACCAAAAGAAAAAAAAAAAAAAAAAAAAAAAAAAAAAAAAAAAAAAAAAATTAAGACAACCTGATTTTAGACTGTCGTGGACAAAAAAAGGAGAGGAAGGAAGGGAAACTAAAGGAATATAAACAACATTTGCCAGATATTTAAAGAAATAAATTTACTGCATGTAAAGCTGATATGGCATACCGTTTGCAGTGTACCTGCAAGCTCTTGCAGCC